TAAAAGTACAGTGTACCCTTAATGCCAGCCATGGCCGCCATATGACAAACATTGTTAAGATATCTATAACCATGCCTCCCTCCCTCGTAATATTTTTCAGTGACATCATGAACAAACTCAACAATATAACCATCACTCAAAGCATTCTTTTCATGATCCTCATATATTTGTGTGTATACATGTGTCCCCATATATTTAAATATCATTAATTACCATGGTAAAAATCTCCAATGCGTAGGGTCTATCTAATATTTTAACAGTGGTTTCTAGTGTATAGGTAAATATACTCATAGATGTAAAAATTGTAAGATGATTGAATATTGTGTTGTATTGATCTGACCTAATATGGGGTATATATAGAATATATGAGGGGGTAGAGCAGGAGCGATTCTACTGGGGGGCTTTAACAGGCTCAAGCCCCCCTCCAGCACTGTAAAATTTGTTTCTACTACTAATTTTAAGGCCCAGCCCAGCTACTTGCAGGTCCAATCCAACACATATTTGCATGACCCGGGCAGCCCAGCCCGCCCTCCATTTTTTTCTAGATTCGCCACTGGGGTAGAGGCTTGGAATACAAGACAAGTAATACATGGTTTAAACCTATTCCATCTCTACTCCTTATCTCTATATTTAAACCCAACTTATATTCTAACATTTCCCCTCGGTCGTAACGGGAGTGAAGCGGATGATTACGACTGAATTTCAAGTCTTATGGCTTCCCGTCTTCTCCGCTGCGCTATCATCAACTGCGTCTCTGATGGGTCGGCACTTAGGGCGGTGACTGCGTCCCCTTCTGGTGCCTTCCTGCCTTCTCCTCTATTCCCTCCCGCAGTCACAGCAGGAGTGTCGTGGACGCAAGTGACGAGGCGGACACTGTTGACTGGAGTTGTTGCCGATGAGTTGCTGTAGACGTAGCCATTAATGTGGAGGTAGCCGATCATGGTGATGTAGCCGTGGTCGAGGTAGTCGTGGTCGATGGTGTGGTCGTCGTGGATGATGAAGCCGCACAGAGCCGGAGTCGCAAAAAAAATGCACTATGACGGAGCTGCATACGTGGACGATGCACCTTGTTGATGTCAGAGGGTGTCGTCGGCGATGAGTCCACCGATTTTGCCAAGACCGGAGGAAGCCCATCGAGCACACATCGGTTTTGCCAGAACCATGTGGCCGTGTAGGGTCGTCACTGTAGTGACGCGTGTCGATGCAGTCGTGCCGTCGTCGATGACGCGGTCGATGCCGTCGTCTTGACGCGGTCATTGTCGTCGTCGAGGTCACGTCTTGCAGAAAAGTCTGTCAGAGGATGCTAGGTGTCATCTTATGGACGAGGCGACAGCGACGGTGTGTTGATGAAGATGTTGGTGAAGACCACGTTGATGAAGACTTTGGTGATGAAGTGTCGACGATAGTGTCACAGTGGCGTGTCGACGATGATGCGTCACTTGAAGGCGTCCCTCCATGGCGACGAAGTGTCGACGCCCTGTCATGCCGAAGAAGCATGTTGGCTCATAGCCGGGCGTCGTAGAGCTCAACGGAGTGGCACATGGTCGATGCAGAGGCGTCGGCGTAGTCGTTGATGTCGGTGCAGTCAACTTGGTGCCGCGGCGCGGGTCGGTGTAGATCACTCGAGATAGATCGCTGGGTGTAGGCGCGGGTCGGCGGCTGGTGCGTCGCTCAATCGCGTGGCCTGTGCGGGACTGCGGGCGGTGAACCCGTCGGGGTGCCGCTCCCGTCTCGCCGGTCGAAGTAGATGTGCACATACGCGACAGGAGGAGGCAAGGGTCGGAGTCCATGTATTGCTGCATGCATCTCCTCGCATAGCTGGATGGACCTTTGAAGATGGAGGCTGCTGGTGGCTGTTGGAGGAGTCGGTGGCCGCTCTTCTGGATCGCGCTTGCGCGATTCCTGCCGCGCGTGCTTGGAGTTGTGTGCCTGGAGTCGAGGGAGCCGCCCAAAGCCACGAGACGTGTAGCTCGATGCCGCAAGTGATCGCCGCCGTACGTCGATAGGTGTTGTAGGATTGACCGCCGGTAGAAGCACCAATTTTTGCTGGAATTTGAGGGCAGCAGGATTTATTTAGTGGCTAACTGGATCGATCTAGCGAATCAACCTGTGGTTGAGTTGGTTAGGTGGACAGTGGTATCCCCAACCCACCAGGGTTCAAATCCTGATACTCGCATTATTTCTAAATTTATTTCAGGATTTCCGGCGATACGCTTTCAGTGGGAGGAGACGTTTCCGTCGACGACGAGGCGCCTACGGTGACTTCGTAAATCTCAAGATGATATGCCGTTGTAGGATGATTGAATATTGTGTTGTATTGATCTCACCTAATATGGGGTATATATAGAATACATGAGAGGATAGAGGCTTGAAGTACAAGACAAGTAATACATGGTTTAAACCTATTCCATCTCTACTCCTTATCTCTATATTTAAACCCAACTTATATTCTAACAATAGAAACTTCTAGAGTATGAATTGAACATTGGTATCACAACTTTTGTTTAGTGATAAGTTGACAACATGTGTATGTTTTATTTGGAATTTAAATACATCACTTATAATAATCACTGAGTAACATAAAAAAACAATGTGAATTTTATTTTCATGTGTACATACAATTTGATTATTCATATGACATATACAAGTGTTGTTCCTAGTCTCTCACAACCAAGTTAAACTCACCTCATAACTAGATTGGTTTGTTTTATACTTCTAAATTTTTTTGAATTGATGGTGTTGGTCGGGGAATAAAGCCGATGGTATAAAATATTTCAAGCTCAAATGATTGAAAGAAAATGTGAGTTCGCCATCAAACCTCACACTTTCAGGTAGTATGAAAAATTAACCTTCTCATTTATATTTAGCATATCTTTTGGTGGCAATAAATTAATCATGTTAACACTTTCAGTACCAAACTTGGAACTTGTGAAGATTTTCCTATGCATCAAACACATCACATCATTTATATGGCATTAACACTGTATATTTTGTACAAAAGAGAAGGATCGATGGTCATATCTTAGGGAAATTAATGGCATATTTTCCAACACAAATTATCATAGTGCAATTAATGCTATAATTTTCTAGAGGTGATATATCTTTTGTACGCGTACAATGAACTAATTCCTTATGATAGATCTTATAATTATTTGCAACATTAAATGTCCGGTACGCTCAGATGCATATAAATATGGTGGTACAGGAATTGGAAAACCAACAATTCCAGGTTTTAACAATGAAAGGAACACAAGCCATTAGTGTGACTCTTCTCATGTCATTTCTTGTTCTAGCGACCAGAGGAAAAGATGTGAGATATAGAAGGCAAGAGGAAGACAGTTCCCAGATTCTCACTTATCAAGGAGTTAATAAAACCATTTAGGTATGACTAATTAACCTTATCATGTATATTTAGCACATATTTTGGTGACTAACAAGCAAAGGAAACCTCAAAATAGATGGAAGACGGGGACGTCTATGACTGCATCGATGTGTATAAGCAACCGGCTTTTAACCACCCATTGCTGAAAGACCATAAAACCCAGGTAAATTAATTTCATAAAAATATGATATGCATCCATGAATTGCTCACTATATTGTCAGTTCATAATTAAGTCCACAAATGTTGCTTCCGTGTGTTCTACTCCCTTCTTGTTTCAGTAATCTTTCTGGATATGCCTTTTCACATTAGAAAATTTGGACTATTGAAAGTGAATTGAAGTAACAACCTTTTGACATAGTATAAGCTATGTCAATGATGAATAAAACTACAGCATGTTTTGTATGTATTGTCTGATCCATTTATAATATTTTGTAACATGGTGGTTTACTTTATTTTCAAACAGATGAAACCAAGTTCTTTCCCTGTTTGGATGGATACCCAAACATTTCCTTCGGATTCTTTTTCACAAGTGCAACCATCTATCATCAAGTGCCCAACGGGAACAATTCCAATACTGTGTAGTAATGGAAGTAGCACCATAGCAACCCACAATATTGATGGGCTCAAAAACGATATGCAGTGGGAGGTGAGTTTTTGTATAAGTTACAAAATGAATTTGTTATCATAGTTTGATGGGATTTTTTGATAGGGTTGATTATGCCAATTGGCGTATAATTGTTGCATTTATGATGCATATCAAATGTACAATGTTGGATTAAAGATGTACCATAGACACTATAAATAATCTAATTAAATTTGAAGAAAGTACTCTAAGAAAAAAAGTCATATTTGGATGGTAGCAGTTAATTTTCCATCGAGGGTCACAATAAGAATGGTTTAGATTCATCAAGTTATTATGGAAAATGAGTTTTTTTTGGCAATTTTATAGTGAATGAAGGGCCTCGTACTCTACAACATTTGAGTAGTTAGGAATGATTTTTGTGCCTTCGGATTGTTATCTCTACTAAATAAGTTATGTATCAACATTATTTCAGTTGTACATGAAGGAATTCAAATTTCATTACCAAGATTTAGTAACACTCTCTTGGAGAGTTTCATATATACTAGTCCCAAATTCTTAGTTTTTAGCATTAAGTTGTTTTCATTGATTGTTAGTCTTTCCTTCCCAAAATGTGAATGGCCACACATCTTAAGATTGAAGTTGTATCGACAACGTGGCAATATGAAACGAAAGTGATAACATTTAAAATGCATTTGAATATGAATAATATAATATGATTTATGTGTCACATAAGCTAGAACTTCTTAGCTTAATTAGTGGTCCAATTAAAAATTCTAATGGGATTGGCGCCTTACATCTTTTATAACGTGAATAACATGTGATATCCTATCAGGTTTATCTATACATAGTATTCATTCATCACATTTGCGGACGTTACTTTGATTTCTTGCAGAGGGCGGGACTCAGATACGTTGGTGATTTATTTGGGGCGCGTGCTCTAATAAATGTTTGGGAGCCAAAGGTAAAAAAGGTAGCCAGGATTCTAGCTCACTTTGGATAAATATTGAAAATGGAGGAGGGCAACACACAGATCGGATGGGCGCTGGTCTTCGGGTATCTCCAACATTGAGTGGTGATGCTTTTGTTAGATTTCATGTTGCTTGGGTACGTAATGCATACTATTATTTGGATACATACAGGCTATTATTGGCTATATATTTGCATGATAAGGAATTAATAATGTATGTTGATATTTTGCTTTTGTTTTTGGCCTTGGAACAAACTTCACAGTACGATGGGTATTCAAAGAAGTCATGCGTTGACTTCAGCTGTCCTGGATATGTTCAAGTCCACCACAACGTTGGTCCTGGATCAAGAATACAACCATCCTCTGTCTATGGTGGAGTACAGAAAGTAGTAGACATTCAAATATTCAAGGTGTTATGTCATTCTTAAAATCTGCGATTTCTCAAGCACCTTGTACAGATTAACTAATTATTAGTTTATTTATTGGCATATAATGAACTAATTAATATTGAATTATATTATTTTAGGAGCCGACATCAGGCCATTGGTGGGTGAGTGTCAATAAAATGCCAATTGGATATTGGCCGGGCGGATTATTCAAATTCATTAGATACAAGGGTGGTTTTGCGTTCTGGGGCGGGCAGGTTGAGGGGCCGACTGCCGCATCAAACTCTCCGGAGATGGGTAGCGGGCATTTTGCTTTGGAAGGATTCGGAAAAGCGGCGTTCATGGAAGGCATCGAGATTGCCGATAATAAGGGCTGGTTTGTGACCCCGGATAAATCCCGAGTGAAGCATGGGTCGAGCGATCGGTCCAAATACACCGCCGATGGATTTGAAGTTAGAAAGGATTTAGGTATGCTTTTCTTCTATGGTGGACCAGGGTCCAAGAGGGCCTGATGATAATAATCTATGTATGGGCTCGACAAAGTTAATAAAACAGACACCATGCAAAGTGGTCTTGCGGCATTATGTACGTCCGTATATCATCGACTTCCGTTCGTGCTGATTTTTGTTTCTTGTTTCTTTTGCCGTGAGGGAGTGCAAATGCAACGCCACGGTAGACGATACAAGTTGAAGCCATGCGCGCGCGTGTATATCCGTCGTCGGTGGTTTGGTCATTAGATTAAAATCGAACGGTCATCCTTCTTTCTTCTTAACAGATCTGTACTTGTGGCGGACTAAAAAGAAACGGAGGGAGTAATAATAACAAATGACAAACTCGGTCAACTCATTACTCGTTGGTAGTAGCTATGGTGACACGATGAGAATGAGACCACCGAAAGACCGGGGCGCGCCTATATCCATCGTCGGCGTCGGTGGTTTGGTTCTACCGGAGCCGCGACTCGTCCTTGTGGCGGGAGACGAGCTTGGCGGTGTCACGCCACCGGGACACCTCGCGCTCCTTGTCCCGCAGCTTCCTCTGCGCGCGCTGCAGCTCCGTCTCCAGCTCCGCGATCCGCTGCTCGTGCCGCAACTGCAGGAGCTCGTGCAGCCTCCGCTCCAGCACCCGCGCCGGCACGCCGCCGTGGCACGGCTTGCTCTCTTCGACCTCCTCGTCAGTATCTCCCTCCTCCTCCTCCTCCTCCTCCTCGTTGTCTTCGTGTTCCTTGCAATCTCTTGCCGCGTCACCGAGGACACCGTCTATGTGGACGCAAGCAAGGGAGCCGCTCTCCGATGAGATGTCGCTCTTCGCCTCGGACTGCAAAATCAATGGGAATTCAGTTCAGCACAGCGTCAAATTGGCGCAGAGCGAGCACGCCGGCGGCAGTGGCGGCATGAGTGCACGGTACCTCGAGCTGGTGATCTCGCCGCGGTCTCACGCATTCCTCCTCCCCGTCGCCCTCGTCGGAGTCGAGCTGCAGGCGCGTCAGTTCCGCCTCGAGCTCCGCTTCCATCTGATCCATCGCAGCGACAGCATCTCCAACGCCGGCATCGCCGCACGCCGAGGCGGCATCGCGTGAACCACGGAACAACGAGGCGTCCTCGCCGCCGGCGTCAGCAAAGACGATGCGCTCCTTCACGACGCTGGCACCGTCGTCGACATGGCCGCCGTCAGACAAGTCGGAGCGGCTGCTGCCACGCGCCTCCGCCCTGACGTCCATCACCAGCCGCTCCATCTGGGCGCGCAGCTCCGCCATCCTGCTCAGCTCCGCCGCGCCCCTGGACAGCAGCAGCACCAGGCCCGCGCCCAGCCCGAGGCTCGCCGCCGACACCTCCGGCGCCGCCTTCAACCCTGCTAGAAAATGAACCACGCCACGCCGTTGGCCGTCACCATCAACGCCGATCACAAACTCAGTGAATTCGCGGTAATCACTCACGTACCCTGCAGGGAACTCCGAGGCGACTCGCGAACCTCTGCTTCTTGCTTGCTCGCCACGACCACCTTAGGCGCGGCCACCTCCTCCTGTACGGCGTCCTCCTCGGCGGCCGCTCCGGCGCCGCTGGAGCAGTAGCGGGGGATGCGCATGCGGCAGCCGAACCCGCCGCTGCCCCTGCCGAAAATGCGCGCCAGCAAGGACCGTGGTGAGCGGCACTCGCGCCGGATCCTGCTGGCGCAGGCAGCATTGGTGAGGAGGGCGCCGACGGTGGCCGGCGAGGAAGGCGGGGAGGTCGAGAGACGCGGGGGCAGCGGCAGCGGTTGCGCCGTGCTCGTCTGCATTGCCATTAGCGACCGAGACTCGGAATGGCGCGGCAATGTCGAGGGGATTCGAGGAATGTTGGAGGATTTCATGGGGTTGATGGAGGCGCGCGTATTTATAGGGAGGCGGAAATGGTGGGCAGTGTGGGGTTTAAATGGGCGTTAAACCTTCCATGTCCTTTGACCAACCAACCTTCATTTTCCCCTTGATTTAAGAAACGCTGTCCATTTCAGGCGACTGAGGATAGAGGGGAGTATACTACTAGTACTTCCTTCGTTCCTAAATGTAAGTTTTTATAAAGATCTCAATACAAACTACATATGAATATATGTAGACATAATTTAAAGTGTAAATTCACTTATTTTATTTTGTATGTAGTCACTTATTGAAATCTCTAAAAGGCTTATATTTAGAAACGGAGGAAGTAACGTTTTTCCAAATCTTTTCAATAATTGTCAGTTGCTTCAATTTTTGAATCCTTGTCTTTAAAATAGTAGTCTTTTGAGTTCGAAGTCTGTCACCTCCATGACAAATTCATGCAGTTCAGTTTGTAAGAGCATCTTCAACAGACGTGCAACGAGCGGCGCGCTAAAACAGTTTTTTGCGCGCGGCAAGGCACTGGCTCCAACAGCGATTGCAAAATATTGCGCGCGCCCCCTTCAACAGACGCTGCAAAAAAATACGCGCACGAGCAACCAGAACACAAACTAGTTCAACCAAATAGATAATTCATCATCAACGATACAAATAGCAAAGTTCAACCACACAGCACAAACTAGTCGATACAAATACTCCCTTCGTTCAGAAATACTTGTCGTAGAAATAGATGTATCTAGACATTTTTTAGTTCTAGATACATCCATTTCTTCGACAAGTAATTCGGAACAGAGGAAGTAGCAAAGTTCAACCAACATCACAAACTAGAAACTACCAAGACTATTCGGAGTCGTCGTCCTTCTTCTCCTCGTTTGTGTCGTCCGACGTATCAAGAAACGCGTCTTCCCACTGCTCATCGTTGCTAGAGAAGAATGTCGCCTGACCCAGATCGCACTGCGATATCGCCAGTGCCTTCCGACGACGCCTGTCCGCCCGTTCCGCGCGCCGCCTTGTCCCCCTCTCCGTCCAGAAGGCGTTCTCGTTGGGGGCGTTCTCTGGGTGGCGCTGGCGTCGCTCCGCCATGGCTCGCTCGTCCGCCTCAGCCATTAGGAGGCGGCGCTGCTGCCGACAGTGTTCCTGACGATCGGCGCCAGTTACTAGCCGTGGCGGAGGGGCGAGGTCATGCACCTGCTCAGGCGTCGAGACGTCCTGAAAGTTCATCTGTGCCCGAGGCCTCGAGAGGCGCCACGCCGCCGCGTCGTACGCGCGGGCGGCCTCGTGGGGGGTGTCGAAGGTGCCGAGGCCGAGGCCGCGGTAGCCCGAAGCTCCCCGACGGTGCGGCGGCACGGTGGCATGTCGGCGGCGAGGCGAGAAAGCGGCAGAGAAAGCGAGGAGAGAGTGGGAAAGGGCGCGTGGCGATGTGGATAGCGACTTAACGGTGCGTGACGGGCGCTGCATTTTATAGACGCATCGGAAGCGGCGCGTCAAATCTAGCGCGCGACCGTCCACTTTTCCCCGCACGCGCGCAATCGTTTTCCGCGCGCCTGATTTCCCCACCTCCGATGAAGCGCACGAAATCGTCCCGCGCGCTAAAATCTAATTTTACCGCGCACGCGTTTTTTGCCGTCACTGTTGGAGATGCTCTAAGGGTTGAGAGTTGATACATGTACTGAAAAAGTTGACTTGTTTAAAAAAAAATCAGGCAACCCATATATTAAGACGTCTACTGAATTTATACGCCTGAAAGCAGAATTTTTGCCGAATGGAGGTGCTTCTCGTGTCCAATTTTATTCGAACGAAATCAATAAAAAACCATGGCGAAGCAAGTTGACTGAAGCGGAATATCACGATAGATTGTATCTCAGGTTCTGTAACGTGCACGTAATAGGTGGCCTACAAATTAGAATTGTGTCACATTTGGCTAGTCGCCAATCTGGTTGAGTAGGCCTTGTTTAAGACTTTGAGGATTATTTTAATTCACACATGAATAAGTTGCTAGCCGGGTAAATCGAGACTCCATTTTCTAGAAACCGAATGGCCCATCAAAAAAGAATTTAAACCAGACAATGACACGCTACCTTCTAGCATCTGAAGGGAGTACTTCCGATATGTTGTCGCACAATGTTATGAATCTCCGGCCGACTACGAGCGTATCGAACTACTTTTCTTCCCCAAACATAAAGAAAAGATCCCAGCCGTTTAGGTCATCCCCTTCTGCTGGCGCCACCATCAATTCGTCTCGTCTTCTGTGGCCTAAAAGCCATGAGGCATGGTGGATACTTGCCAGCAGGAAGGCTCATGCTTTGTTTTTAAATATTTTTATAAGTCCGTTTAGGGTTTTTGTCCTGCTCAAGAAATGGAGTCGGCAGCGATCCCCTGAATATGGAATAAGGTTCTTCCCGCCTAGCCCCCCTTCCGGCGGTGCATCTAGCGTCATCGGAGGGCATGTAGAGGTGTGTCTTCGGCAAATCTCATGGAATTCGGTTGGCGCTTGTCTTCGGTGGGTCTGCATGCGTCCAGTTTTCGTTTGTCTACGTTCATGTGTCTATATGTTGGATCCTTATGATTTACGTTTTTCTTTAACGGTGGCGGTTGTTGTTCTGGTGCGATGGTTCTTTCGGCTCTTAGCACAACAACTTCAGGACTGTCTACTACAACAAAGTTTGCATGGCTTCGATGAGGAATGGACGATGACGGCGGTGCGCCTTCGGCTCGCCCCAGTATTTATAGTAATCGCTAGTTGGTCTACGGGCATGGATGTAATTTTATTACTTCTCGTGTAGTTGTACTGCCATAATGTTCGCTGAATACAGTAGATCGAAAGAGAAAAGGCAAGCACCAACCGACAATGATACCCACCGCTGCGGTTCAAAACCATTTGGCACCGGTTCATGTACAGATTGAAGGGCTTCTAACTGTACCGAGAGGCGTAGTGGATGTCTAGATAAGAAGAACAAAAATTGTAAAATCTAGACTTTCAAGTGTGTTGAATTTAGGCAGCTGGGCATCTGGATAAGAATAACAAAAAATTGTAAAATCTTAACTGCAGATGTACAAGAGGCCACTCACGCTGATTGTGAGCCAGGCGCCACTCACGCCGATGGTGAGCCAGGCAGTTCATGCCTTGGTAGAGTTAAATGTTTGATTGAAGGTTAAGCGCGA